TTTTTTTTTTTTTTTTTTAATTTGCAGTTTTGAACGAGATGTCGAGAAGCTCCGTTTACGCGCGGCGTACGTACAGCGTGGAACGTGGTGGGATAAAACGCGTGACTCACGATTAGTTCAATATCAGTGCTAATACTGATTTTTCCAAACGAAAAAATCCTCCTACTTGGGAATTCTTTCTTCTTCTTGTGACTCAATTCGTTAGCGTGAAAATTGATTTCAACCAAGTGGGAAATGATTCAATTTGTGATTGCAACACAATTTCAGGTAGATTTGAAAATCTACTTGATCAATTAATCTGTACATCTGATCATTTTTGTGCCACTGAACACTTGCAATTGGTACTTGCAGTTAGTAACGCTTATTAATCGTTGATCGAAACGTATCTTGAAGACTTATGTTTCAAAGAGTTTACAAATCAGCAATTCTTCCAAAAAGAAAAATTAATTATTATACCGCACGATCTCCTTAATAACGCACCTACGAGATACTTTACGAAGTAAAAATATTCAGTCGAGATATAACAAATGGTTTGCGAATGATACTCTGTGCTCTTTGTATGCTGACGAAGTTAAATCTCGTAATAGTGACGCAGACTTACCTCCAATCCATAGGTGATGGTATATTTTCTGATGATGCCGTTCTGTTCCTGGCTTGGTAAAGACCACTCGAAACTAATGTCACTGGGCTGAATATCTGTAGGGTGAAACTTCTCCACTTTGCCAGGATAAGATTCGCTGGTGGTGAAGCTCGCGCTCACAGGATTCGATATCCTGAGGTAAGAGGACGCTGTGCCCGAACGCACGACCAACGTGAACGTGTAGTTTCTGTGCGGCTTTAAATCCGAGATGGTTATTAGATTCGCGCTCGTGATGTTCTGAATGTAATTTTCTTCTGTGTTTATGTACTGGACCTCGAAAGCGTCGTACTGTCCACGTGGAATGTCCCAGGTTAACGTGATCCTTGTGTCGTTGATCTCTACTGCTTGAATGGACGTGACTGGTTCAGGATCTGGAAGCACATGTTCACGTTCAATTTTTTCCGATTATCTGTGTGCTTTTTATTTTTTTTTTTTTTTTATACACTTTTTATTTTTATTAAAATGGAATTTCAAGAAATACGAAATACTACAAATGCATGTAGGATCGATGCTCTTGAAAATCATTATATTGTTTGAATGTGTAGTTGTTTATTTGTTACAAGATTCGCGTCGATACGATCAAAATTTGGAATCACTTTTTTAATTATGTATATATGCATACTAAATCTTTTTTTATTAATTGTTGTGACTTTTCGTGTTAAGAATTACAACTGTAATTTCAAATATTATGAAAAAATAAAAGGATTAAATAATTAAAGAAAATACGTAAATAGATAGATAAATGTATGAAGTCATAAATTGTATTATCTTAAATTATATTACATTATATTACGAATATATTAAATTAGAAATTGATGTTACAGATTTTTTTATGAAATCTTCCAAGGTTTCTAAACTGGTACTGTTTTCAATTCGTGGTCCCTATGAAACACACAGCGATTCCAAATGTTCGATCGACCGTCTATAATTAATAAATTGGTTGGAAAATAAATCGAAAACTATCCAAGATTAAAATCGCGTATTTAATGTTACAATGTCATCATCAGAATTCTAGGTGGACGATACTGTTTAAAATCCCAAAATTTGACATGGCTCT